ATACGCGCTGGACTGAACAGGTGGAACATTCCAGGTCATACCCTCTACATTTCAGTTTTGTATTTGATTATGGAATTATTCTTGTTTTTGTTCATATACAATATTTATCAGCAAATGCAAAAAAAATATGTAAACCTAGTTCATTTAAAAGCATTTAAACCTCCAAAGAGATGTGTTGTATGTAGTACAACCATAAATCCGTGTATCTACCGTCCAATTGTTTTTCTTTATTAAACACGTAAACGGAAGAGCGTTTGAGAGGCCTTTTTGCTTTTTGCTTTTTACCTTACTGAGGCCCAATCCCAAACCACGCCCTACACCCTACCCCTACACACTACCCCTCCGTTTGCGCGTTCGCGCGGAGGGTCCGCCACATTAAGTGCTGTTCCAAACCAACGAGTGTGGAGGGGGAGTGGGCTATCAAGCCCTCAAACAGCGAGTCTGCATCGGTGCTGACTTGAGACCGGTCTCTACCTGACCGGAGTCACGCTGTGTGTGTCCGTCAGGAAACACGCTGTTTACAAGTAGTTCCAGCAAACATCCACTGATAAATTGCGATGTTAACAACCTCATGATAACCTCATATTTTTTTAATTTAGGATCATACCTGTGTTTAGTCTAGAAAAAGGTAAATGTGTGCATTTTATTATAAAGTTGTGTATATTTACAGACTGTTGCAAAAACTAAGAAGCTTATAAACATCAGGTTTAAAACTAAAAGAGCTTTACAAAAAAGTAACACAATGAAAGATGTTTGGAGTTTTATTTGAGTTCTTAATTTACATTTTTTGTCTAAGAGATGCTGATTTGAAACCGTTGTTACATACAGTTACGGCATTTCCTGTTTCTGCCGGAGAGAGGGGAGTTTGTCCCAAAGCTTGCCGCTGTATTTACTCCCTCCATCTGACAGGAGGAACCCTCGTTGAGCTGCGAGTGTGGCTACAGACGGAGTTCACTCCGCCACGGAGGGGTAGGGTCGAGGGAGTGGTTTGGGATTGGGCCTAAATGGTCTAATGGTCGTTGGAGCGAGGGGCGGGGCGAAACTCACGGAAGTGATTTCAAAACAAAAGCACTCGTGTGCTAGGAACGGTGATAATATTATAAACAAAGGGAAACAAGGTGAATTTAGCGATCACAACGAAAACGGCCAAGACACGTATTGAGGGCTGTAAATATAATAAGCCTATGTCTAAAATGGACAACATTGTTAGGAGATTTAAACTATAGGCTACAGTGATTCTGCACTGCAGTCACCTCAGCCGTCTCTCGCGTTGTTTTTTCAAATCAGCCTGTCCTGCTCTATGGTCCTGCTATATTTGATGATCGATACGAAATATGTGTTACCATAAGTTCTTAATAAAACTGATACTGTTGGACTCGGTACTAGTTTGACTGCTACCAGAAATACATTGAAGTACTTTAACTGTGTATTTTTTGAGTAATCCTCTGTCAAAGTCCCCTCCATAGTACATAATGCATGTTTTCTGCTATCTTTGATGAATGATAAAAAGACAATTTTGCCATTAGTTCTTAATTATATTGATACTGCTGGACTCAGTAGTCTTACACCTACTACCACAATACAATGAAGTACTTCTAGTGTGTTGTTTAAAAATAAAATCCTCTGTCAATGTCCCCTCCTGAGAACAAAATCAAGCCACTTCTGCTAAGTTTGATGAGGGAAAAAAATGATTTTTGCCATTAGTTCTTCGTGAGATTGACACTGTTGGGCTCAGTACTAGTGAAACTACTCCCACAAGTACTATGAAGTACTTTTACTGTGTACTTTTGGATTAATCCTCTGTCAATGTCCCCTCCTGAGTACAAGAATGCATGTTTCTCTGCTATTTTGAATCAGCGTTAAAACACCTTTCTTCATGAGACTTATTGTTGGACAGAGTATTTTAAGAGGATAGGTAGACATGTTATCAGCAATACTTCCAGTCAGTACTCCGGCAGCAGCATTTTTACACCTTGGAAAGTCTTTAGAGACTGGCCTTCAGCAAAGTGACAAACCCTTGTGACTCTTGTTGGCCTCTTATGACAATGCTGTCTTTTAAATAGGACTATTTCTCTACTCCTAGTTCGTTCCTCTCAGATTCTTCCATCAGTCCCAGTCATTGCATGTCAGTCAATAGAGATTGGAAAAATGTGTCCAATTCCAACAAAATGTTTTTTTGTGAGTGAAGGCCAGAGCTAAATTATAGATTGTTTGATTGTGAGAGAAAAAGATTCCACATCCTCCTATGAAACGTATTTTATTTCCCTTTCCATGTTGTACTTATACTTACTTGTATTACAACATTTGCATGTTGAACTGCTGGATATCTTCCCCAGCCTCAAGGAAATACAATAAAATAAATGGATTCATAATGAAAAGAATATTGATAAAAATGTATAAATTAATAATGTTGTGTGCAAACATTTCAAATTTAAATATAAAATGAAAAAGAAGTTTACTTTTGAAATGATTTCTCACAAAAACCTTTCTAAATTATAGTAAATTGTAAAAAAAGGTTTTAGTCAATATACGTTTTTCTGCCTAAAATAGTTTAAATTGAACATTACGTAAACTATATCAAACACCACATGCATGGCAATTAACCCATTTTTGCCCGCTATTTAAATTGACTTTGGTTGAAGTTAACAATATTGATATTATATAGATATATAGATATATAACATATCATTGATGCAGTCTTTCTGAACACTTTAAAAAAAAATAGTGCTTCAATGGCTCTCTAGATAAAGGGTGTTTTATGGTTGCTTGTATAATCCTCAGATAGTGGTTTGTTTAAATAACTAGTGACATTTGAATAAATATTGCAAAAAAGGGCTCCAAAAAAGGCATATATATAACCTGGCCGGCTTAGCCAGTCTGTATTTCTTCAAGCACCACAAGATTCAGAGTTTATAAAGTACAATTCTTGGCCATTTATTGTGTCATTTCTCCAAACACATACAGTAAAAATGCCTGTTTTGAAGCCTTAAAATGGTGCAGGAAAAGGACTTTACATTGTGTTATACTTAAAGACAGGGCTATTCAGTTAAGAGAAGAGAAAAAAGGAAAGCAAATTGTTATAATGGGGGTAATGACAGACATAATATGAGGTCCTTGGCACTCAGACTCTAGAGGGGTCATTTTGTGATCATGGGGCATCACCCTTACAGCATCAGGACAATATCATATGGAGTCAGACACTGGAAGTGTGCTGGAGGCTGATGCGTTGACTGCAGGGGACTGATGGAAGGGTGAGGCTGATGAGACTGAAGAGTCTGCGAGGAACGAACTAGCGGCTGAGAAATAATCATATATTAAAAGACAGCAGCATCATAAGAGGCCAACCAGAGTGACAGAGTGTGTCAGTGTGTTAAAGGATAGACCAGCTATCCAGGCCAGTCTCCAAAGACTTTCCAAGGTGTATAATGCTGCTGCCGGAGTACTGACTGGAAGTATTGCTGATATCACCATATCCTCTTAAAATACTCTACTTAATATAAGTCTCATGAAGAAAGTCTTTTTTAACGCTCATTCAAAATAGCAGAAAAACATGCATTCTTGTTCTCAGGAGGGGACATTGACAGAGGAGTACCGGAAAAGTACACAGTAAGTACTTCATAGTACTTGTGGGGGTTTCACTAGTACTGAGTCCAACAGGATCAATCTCACGAAGAACTAATATGGCAACAAAAAAGAATTCCCTCATCAAACTTAGCAGAAGTGGCTTGATTTTGTTCTCAGCAGGGGACTTTGACAGAGTATTTCTCAAAGAATACACAGTAAAAGTACTTCAATGTATTGTTAGTAGTAGGCTAACTAATACAAAGTCAAACAGTATCAATTTCATTAAGAACTAATGGTAAAATTATATTTTTATCATTCATCAAAGATAGCAGAAAAATATGCATTATGGAGGGGACTTTGACAGAGGATTACTCACAAAGTACACAGTACTTCATTTTATTTCTGGTAGAAGTCAAACTAGATCCGAGTCCAAGAGTGTCAGTTTCCTTAAGAACTTGAGGTAAAAAAATATTTGTATCACTCGTCAAATATAGCAGGAATAATGAAGAGCAGCTGATTTGAAAAAGCAAACTCGAGAGGCGGCTGAGGTGACCGCAGTGCAGAATCGCTGTAGTTTAAATCTCCTAACAATGTTGTCCATTTTAGACATAGGTTTATTATATTTACAGCCCTTAATAACATCCATTTTCTGGGCTCAATATGTGTCTTGGCCGTTTTCGTTGTGATCGCTAAATTCCCCTTGTTTATAATAATCACCGTTCCTTCAGCAGGATACTGTAGTGATTCAAAGTGTGATTTTAGCAAACGAGTGCTTTTGTTTTGAAATCACTTCCGTGAGTTTCGCCCCGCCCCTCGCTCCAAGGACCATTTGACCATTTAGTAAGGTAAAAAGCAAAAAGCCAAAACGCCTCTCAGACGCTCTTCCGTTTACGTGTTTAATAAAGAAAAACAATTGGACGGTAGATACACGGATTACCATAGTCTGTAAAGGTAAAACCAGTATGGGATTTTGTGATTTTGTTAGGACTTTACATTGTGAAAGGGAAGTTATTTAGTATTTATTTTTGTATCTTTTTTGGGCGTTGCACTGTAGGGCGTCCCCTGAAATAAATAAATGTGGCATTGTGAAATAAAAGTCTCTTGAAATAAATAAATGTGGCATTATGAAATAAAAGTCCCATGAAATAAATAAATGTGTATTTAAATGTACATATATATATATATATATATTTATTGCCTTATTTATTTATTTCAGAATTTATTTCCTAGGCATATTTATGTATTTATTTAATTCTGGCTTAAACGGCATTCCGTAGTTTTCTGGGTTCTTGTTTTACATTCCTACTGTCAAACATTATTGGGTAAATTGAATGCATAGGTAGGCTATAAGAATGGCCCACTATATACAGCCAACACAAATGTAATTGGTATACATATTTTATTCACTTTTCAAAAATAATGATCAAACAGATGCATCTTGGTTTGACTGAGTTTATTGTGCAATACTTACCAGGCAAGCATGGCACTAAAAAATTAATCTGCATGCTGCTAGTCAGGAAGCAAAAGTATTTTAATATGTACATTCAAGTTTTAGACACAGATATCTGAAACTCATCACCGACAGTTTAGAGTACCATTAATTTCTGTCACTGAGTCCAAACACATCATAAATTCATTGTACAGGCAACATGAGCTGTAGGTTTCATACATGTTATGTTACAAAAATACTAAAATCTGATTTTAGAGAACATTTACAGTTTTTTTATGTTGCACCTACACCATGAGATGCTTGTTTCCAGCATTAGACATAAATATAAAATCCAGACAGATCAGGATTATATATAGAACATGAGCAAAAGTAATAAAGATTGACAAAGGTATGTGAAATCTGACAGTGATCGCATGATGCATCAAGAAGAGTTAGTTATACCAGAGCTACAAGTGATGGAAGAGTTGCTTCAGTCAGATTACTAACGTTTTAATTAATCAAAACGATCTCAAAAGCTTTCCCATATGAAACATCCCTGCTGCTCAGACCCAAAGTGCGACATTATTCCCTTAACCATTAACTCTCCCACTCCTGATGCGAGTAAATAAAAAGGCATACACATGCCACTTGATTTGACGATTTCAAAATGAAGCAATACAAAAATCTAATAGTTTTTATCTATAAAATAGTCACTGGAATACACAGTAATGGCTGTTCTAAAGGGAAATGATTGCCCTTCAAAAATATGTGCATACACCAGAAACACTGGCCTGTTTTTGTTTATTTATTATAGATGACATCATTACTTGACACTTTCTGAAGAAATGTAATTATCTGTAGGATGCTGCCTGTGAGCAATACTGTAACTGATTAAGAAGATTATCTATCAACACAATTCGTACAAAACCTAATTTGGACATGAGAACTGGACACCAATGAACACGTAGATAATTTTAATAAAATGGCATCAAATTGTTGTCTGTATTGTTTTTCACTTCAAATTTTCATTCTAGTGAGCAATTTATATTTTGAGGAATAGCACCAGCTTTGTTGAAGTTGAAACACTTGCCTTGTTTGAAGGTCATTATGTGGCTGCTCTGAAATAAATAGATTGGCCTTTCAATTTGCAAGTTGCTCTAAAACAGAGCCCAACACAAATTAAATCAATCAAATGAATTGATGGTTTACAACAGTGTATTTCTTCGCAAGGCCATGACTTTCCCTGTGAGCTGTGGATGGACACATTAGTCATAGCTGCCTCACACGTTACTTCTGCCCAAACTCAAAGTAAATGCAGACAGACTCGCTTTGGGTCTCACCAATATGGACGGATGTAATGCATAGGCAAAATACAGAGGCATCCTTAGACTTCTGTTAAAAAACCCTCACATTACTTCATTCCCAAAGAGATACATCAGTACCTGCAAATGCTCTCATGCTTGACACAGAGAAAAACACAGACACCCTGCACTCCCATATTAATCCAGACTGCATTTTTTGGAGTGTGTGAGTACTTCTTTGTTGCCTGCGTCCAAACCTTTGGATCTTTTACAGAGTTTTAAGGCAGACATAAATTACTCATATTTGGACGGCTAGACTCAGAGGGCGTTTCCACTCAGATTGTGTGTCCTGCAAACAAGGTGAGGCTCAGTGTTTCACTGTCATGTAGTCACATCTGTTCCACTAGGGCAGATCTGTCCGATATTTGTGGTTGAGGGAGTTGGCTCCGGGTCCGTCTCCCTGACACAGATGACGGCATCCCCACTCACATTAATGAGGCACTGAGCCTTGAGGAAGAAAAAAGACAGGCAGATTAATCTATAAGAAGAACTGTGAGACCTGAGGATGCAGAGAGTTAGTCATTGTGCTCACATGTAGGCCTGTTACGGTAATTACTTTTGTGACTTTTGTCCACGGCTCTGGTGTAGGAACATTTTGGGATTAAGTAGAATTAGAGAGAAATGTTCGTGTTGTTACTAATATGCTAATATGTTCATCATTTGCACATTTGTAAAAAGAAAAAAGGTTCTAACCATTTAAAAACTGGAATGGTCGTGTTTGACCTGTAGTGTACTGTATGACCTAAGGACTTAATGATTCTTTAATTCCATATGTGAAATGTTTTATATGAATGTCAGTTGAAATCTTGTTGACAGAGCTTGAGAGTCCATATTATTTATTGTTCTGATTGTGTGTTTTAAAATTATATTTATTTATTTTGGATATTTTAATATCTTTTTCACAATCCAATTCCAATGACTGAATATTCTCAAGAGTTAAGTGGTTGTAAAACGGTGTATTTGCATGATTTAACTTTTTCATTATTATTATAGTCAGGTTTTAAAATGACATTGTCTTGTTGGAATAATTAATAAGTAGTCATACACTACAGGCCTACACTAATGTATAGATGGAATGTAATAGGTAAATACGTCTGTGCGTGTGGGAGAGTACCTGGTTCTTGTTTGGATTTTCCATCAACATACACTCCTTCATGCTGTAGGACACCACTGCATTCCCACCCAGAGCTGCTACATGGGCTCGAACCATCGCAAACACCTCTCCTATGAATGAATGGAGGAAGCCACTGACACCACCTTCCTGCAGAGGACAAACACACACATATCAGGGATGTCTAAACTTTGAACAAAGATCTGGGGGCCTTTGAATGTGTTGCTCGTCTTTGCAGTCATACCTCCCGTAACGATGTTGTCTCTCTTATGAAAAACATATTGATGATCCCAAGGTATTTGATGATGCGTGTCCCAGGGAGGAAAGAGAGCGGCGTCATCTTCACCACGGCGACCGAACTGCTCCCGAACGAGCGTGTGGAGCGCAGCGAGCGAGAGCGTCCCTCGGGCAGCGGACTGCAGCGCTCCAAAGATGAGACTGTAAGTTCAGACAGAGCAGGCAGAGGTCCAAAACAGGGACATGTGAAAAGAAAACAAGAGGAGAGGAAGAGGAAAAAAGACGAAAAGGAATGGAGAAACCAGAAAATACTCAAAAATTGTGGGAAAATAAAAACATATATGAACTTTAAAGCAGAAAGAAATGTGAATGTGAAATGTTCGTGCAAAAGTCCTGTTCGCTTTTTCACGGCTGGACTAACATGTGTGCACCTATCCGTGAGTATGTCAGTTGTGAGTGTGTGACTTGACATGCAGTGGTGAGGATGTGTGGTGCCAAGACAATCACTTGGAAAGCGTGCGCTGCCATGCATACCGTGCAGTTGAAGCAAACAGACAAGACAGTTAAACAGTGTCTGCAGACAGACAGACAGACCTGGACACAGCTGTGTATGCTTACAAGTGTGAATACAGTTTTTGCTGTACAGTGAAGTACATGAGAACATGTTTAGATTATTTTTCATTTGTGAAAGAAGCTTGAGAAATGGAGACGGACATAGACTGCTATGAGCTGAGCTGGGCACATGTACACGAGCCAGAGTGTGAAAGATGCTCCATCATCTTACTGCAGATTTACCTGACGTGGCTTACATCCATCAAACCAGGAACCTTCAGAGCCACACGTTAGATTGTAGTTCACTTGTGTGCACAGGACTGAAAATCCAACAAGATCTTGCAGAAAAGCAATGCCCCCTGCCCACCCCACCTTGATCTCTACCACATTGTATGTGTCCCAATTAGTTTTTGTACAGTTTATCCTTAAAACATGGCATCTCAGCTTAGGTACATTCACTCATGCAAGTGCTGAGAAAGAAATCAAGTCACTGGAATCCAGTTATTGTCATCAAATTGATCCATTTAACCCTTACAGATAATTTGTCATCATATTTGCCATGGCTACAGGCATTTCAAAGCCAAGCAGCTGCTTGTGGATCCTTCTGAGGGGCGGGGCTTCAACGTTCAAACTCAAGCTAAAAGCTGGTGTTTCATTTACGTTGCTCCGCCCCCCAGCGGCATGCATGGAGGGGTTTGTGATTGTGTGTGTGTGTGTGTGTGTGTTTGTGTGTTTGTGTGTGTGGTTGCTCGTGAAACGGTGTTCTGTATTTGTGGGTATCATCACCGGAGTGTGCTAGAGACTGTGTCCTCCTACTTGTCTTAACTGATCCTCGTCTTATGGTGTGAGCTTTCAGCCTAAGCAGCTCTAGCCAGGTGCTGCATCTGTCTGCAAAGGAACCGTAATCAACGGAGGCAGCTGGAGAGAACACAGACACACAAACACAAACACACACACACAAACACAGCCCACAACCAAACATACACAAACGCAACAACAACGACAACAAGAGAACAAAAGAAGAAAGAAAACAGGACAAATACAACAAACAGAAAAGAAACAAAAGTGGATGAGGTTTGGGAGTGATGCAGGATAACTCTGTCTGAGGTAAATAGGATGAAAGTCCAAAACAGAAGTGTAGTAGTTGAGGTAGCAGGGAGAGAGGGTGGGGGGGAAAGAGGCTCACCTCTGGATGAGACGTTGATGCTCTCTGCGACACCTGTCACACACACACACCCACACACCCACACACACACACACACACATCAAAATCTAACTTTGCACTTGGCAGGGAGCGAACAGGCTTCAACAGTCCCTTGCCACAAGGCCTACACAGCATGTGTTACTTAGCTTTCACCTTCTCATACATCTTTTGCACATCCAAATGCTCCTTTTATAGTCAGTACTATAGCCGGGACCAGCTGCTTGCTCATTGTTAAATTCAAGTGAATGAAAAGTAAGCCATGCTGCTTTTCGAGCATGACATCTCATCTAGACAACACCACACGGTCTCATCTAGACAACACCATCTAAGTTCACTTCAAACTGAACACACTGGGCTATGACCAACGACTGTTTATTTACCTGGTAAACGAGCCAGAACCAGCTGATTGTGGCAGAGCTTTGCGGATGGGGTGAGTAAAGAGACTGTACCTATAGTTGTTAGTGGAGGAGATGGGCAGTGCCTGTTATTCAAGCAGGATGGAGGAGGTGGTCAGGAAGAAATTAAAACCATTTTTTAAAAAAGGCTACCTGAGGTTTTGGATGCTTGCTGAGTGTTGCCTGCTGCTGCGTCTGCACATAACTCCATGGGGAACTGCAGCTGCTCTTCAGTCTCACCTCCTCCTGGAAAGAAGCACATAGAATCACTCCGGTGCTCTAGATTTCAAACACAACCAAAGAGATGTTTTTTCTTTTGTGGTTCTGTTCTGTTTTCTTACTTCACTACTACTGAAACAACCTGGTTTTGTGCAAGTAGTTTGAAGGTTTGTTGAATACTAACACTAGCCTATCACAGCTCAGAGATACAGCGTTAAAGGTTTTAAAGATACAGTAGATGGCATTCCTAATCAAAATGTTCTAATTTATAAATCATTTATTAGAAAAGCAACACAGGAAACATATCTCAAACTTACAGTGGTTAAATATGAATAACTATTTGTAGTTTCACAGTATGTTGCAATGGAAATGTTTTTTTAAATAAAGCTTTTAACACAAGACTAACCCTGCATTATATAAAACCTCAAGGTATTGTCTGACTTTGTGTGAGAATAAAATGTTAAAAACATCCCCTAAAACAATCAATAACTCCCTTTAACCAGATATACTGTACCTTTGGTGGGGGGCTTGTCTGCCGGCTTCTCCTGATTCTGGTCTTTGTCAAATGTCATGGCAACAGCTGTAACTGCAACCTGCAAGGCAGAGGCACATTAATAGATATGAGAAACTTTTTTTATTGGATTTGACTCATAAATTCAGTTTTGTTGCTATTTCACAAATCAGAGATGGCCTGAAGCCTCTCACCTGTATGAGTTCTTCTTCTGGTACTGCTACAGTGAAGTTGAGCTTACACAGACAGCAGGGGATCATTGAGCGCAACTTGAAGTAAAAACTCTGAAATAAACACATTGAAATTACATGAAACTCTTTATTCAAAACACAAGAAATACAAGGACCATTGTAAGAGTTTAACAGTCTTACAGATGCCCATTACAAAGGATAAGTATTGCACCAAAAAGGACGTAGTTACCAACTGATCAATAGAGGCCTTCTTACCTTTAGCAGATTCTCACAAAGGTCAGTGAAGATCTTGTTCAAGCCTTGGTTAGTAAGATTGGCATTACTCAACCTAAAGACCCTCACTGATGTAAACATCTGCAAGACAGTAGCAGAAACACATAGCATGAAATATACGATTAAAGCAATACATTTCCTAAATTATAATAGTTTTGCCTTTCCTGTAGATGTAGATTTGCTTAATTATGTTCAAATTGCAGCGGTTGAAAAACATTAAATGTACACATCAATGGCACAATATAATTGAAATAAAAAAGCCCCTCCAAAATAGTTTTTAGTTAAGATAATAGAAGGTTTGCTGTGAACTGTGAAGGATGTAACGCTGTATTATGAACACTAACCTGAACCCCTGAAGTCCAGTTGAAAATCCCAGGCATGGTCTCAGTGTTGCAGCTGTAGAAACCTAAAAGTGGAATGGCAAAAGATGAAGAGGCAAAGAGATTTGACATTTGTTAGATCCTCGACCCAATAGGGAGATACCTGAGTGCAGTGAGTGCATAATGATTCACTTTAAGGCGGCAGGATGTGAGGATAATGTGTGAAAACAAGTATAGGCATACCATATTGCTGCTTTCAGTATACTAAAATATAACACATTTCTTGTTAAATTCAATAAATGAGAGTATACAGTACCTGCGGGGGTAGAAGCATCCATGAGGAGAGAGTGGATGTCCTCCACAGCGTCAGTGTCATCAATCTATGGAAATGACAGCAAATTCTTAAACTTGTCCATTGAAATAATTGGATTTACACATGTTGTTGTATTGATACACACCTCCAGGACAAAGGCATCCTTCTTGCCATGGGAGAGGTCCAGTTCTGACTGTTCATCTGAGCTTTCTGAGTGGGAGCGGAAAAGTCTGGATCGTTGCCTGGGCTCAGGAATCGGAGAACCAACAACCTCCTCTGTCGGCTCCTGCAAAGCAAAGGGAAACAAAACCTGAGCAGACTGGCTGTCTAAGTGAACAGCAGAATACAGCAGCAGCGCACGTCTGCATCTCACATGTAAATCTAGAAGTCTATGTTAATACCATACCACACCACACCACACACACACACACACACACACACACACACACACACACTACACACACACACACACACACACACCCACACACACACACACACACACACACACACACACACACACACACACACACACACACACCACACACACACACACACACACACACACGACACACACACACACACACACACACACACACGACACACACACACACACACACACACACACACCATCACACACACACACACACACACACAACACACACACACACACACACACACACACACACACACACACACACACACACACACACACACACACACACACACACACACACACACACACACACACACACTACACACACACAACACACACACACACACACACACACACCACACACACACACACACACACACACACACACACACACACACACACACACACACACACACACACACACACACACACACACACACACACACACACACACACACACACACACACACACACACACACACACACACACACACACACACACAGTAAGGAGTGGCACATACACACACACACACACAAACACCACCCAAAAATATACAGGTGAGAGTTTGAATGGGCAGGGTAGATGGTCATAATACAAGTACATCAACACAGATACATGGGTCTACAGTGGTTTGCCCTTGAGAAGTGACTCTGGAGTCACTTACACATCTACCTGCTCCCAAATGACCCCAGTGGTTATACAGGTATAGTAAAAGCAGTGTAGTATTGTGATTAATACAGTGAATTTTGTCATGCTTTGCTGCGTCTCACAGCTAAAAGTCGCCGTGCTCAGTACCATGTTTATGCCGCAGAACACCTCAGGGTCCAGGGCAAATAATTTCTTTAATAACCAGAGAGAGACAAGAGGGGTAAGTTTATCACGATTTACAAAGAACAGACTATATAATGTATGATACATGATTTTGAACAAAGAGATAATTATACCCAAAACAATGGAAAGGCTTAAGCCTCAAAATGTATGTGACAGGCACAATTAACTAGCCATTAACTGCAGGTACAATTCTGACATTAAAGCCCTAAAATACACAAAAACGTAACATTTTTGTTTCCACAAGCTTTCTGTTAACAGCATATTATTTATTTATTTATTTATTTGTGGGTACCCACTTGGTACTCTGAATACTGTAGTGTTGAAAAAGACATTGTAGAGACCTACTTAGCAGCGGCATGATAGGGTAGGCCTTGCAGACCTAATCACAGTCTTCCATAGATTCATTTACTGTGGCTGCATGTGTTTCGGGTCTCACCGGAGGGTTAATCTGATAGAGCTCCTTGTTCTTGGCAATGGTGTCATTGATCCTTTTCTGAATGGTGAGGATGTGGTGATCATTGCTCATCTCACCAGGAGTTTTCCCCGCGATCTGGATGGCCCCTGGAGCCGGCAGAGCTGTCAGGTACACTCCTGTAGCAGACTGAACACACACTCATTTTAAGGACAACACACAAATGGCTGAATAAGCTGTTCACCCTTAAATGTCAACCTACAGCCAGACCCAGCAGCATGTTCTCTCCGACACTGATCTGTATGTGCAGGCCGAACAGAGCGTTCATGCTCCGCAGCTTCAGCTTGTTCATCAGCTGGGTGTGCAGCTCGTACTCCATGAACGGCAGCAGGTTGGAGATGGCCGTCGCATTCACTTCACCCTGGGCCTTCTTTTTTAAACGACACAGCCTAGAAGACAATAAACACTGGCATTAACTCACTTTTCTCAACGTCTTCGTGTGATCAGCCTTCAAGCTGCCACAGCATGAACCATATGTTGGGAGATCACGTGATCAAACTGATTTAGAGGGAATTAACATTGTACATTATTAAGGTGTTTTTTTTATTATTCATTTTCTTAATAAATCTACCCTATGCGACATTTGACTGCACTAAATATTACTTCTCTACGTTGGAAATCAGTTTAAAACGGCTTGAAGCCATTTAACTGTGACATGTTTTACCTGGCCTGGATAAGGCAGCCCTTTCCTGTGACAGCTGCTTCTGGGGGCAGGTCAATTGTTGTGAAGAGCACATCAGGAACCTTGAAGACACATAACAATTATTACTACTAATTCATGCTTTTTCCCACCACACTGGGTTTTAATAAATGGGACAACGATTTACACGATTTCGGCAATCAAGATGAATATATTTGACACCTTTTGTCGCCTGCACTGGTAGCAGAAAGTGAGCTGGGCTGGAAAGGGCATGTTGAGCTCATCATAGGGGATGTGGCAGAAACCACAACTCGGGGGAGACGGCTCCTCAAACCTGCAGAAAAACACACACCATCTGGTATCATCCTCAAAACTCAATTCAAACTGTGCTGACGTAAAGAGTATACAAACAAAGATTAAAATCAGTCAGTCATAAATCATATCAACCTGTGGTCGCCGATTACGATGTCGAGGCAGCCTTCACGCATATATCGAGGATTCAGGATGGCTGCTGTGCCTGATGCTGACAGGATACACACTTCCTCACTGGGTCAAGGGGAGATAGAGGAAGAAAGGGAAGAAGATGAGAACACAACGGGAACTTGTTTAAAACTAACTGGGTTATAAAATGAACATCAACAATAAGCAAAGCAGGCAGAAAAAGGAAATCTTTGTACTACTACATACCAGATGCTAGTGCTCTCACTGTACCCCACCACAGCATGGCAACCAAGAGCTTTGGCATGAGATTTGATCTCCTGGCGTATCTCCTCCCACCAGGCGTCGCGAGTCTCTGGCTCATCTGGAAAACACAAAACTCAGAGTCAGACAGTTTTTACAAACCATTCCAGGTGGCTGAATTATCTAATAAAACCTCACTGAACACTGGAGTCTTTCTACTGTTATCAAGAGTAAAGCTTAACCTAGTTATCTGTCGACATTGTTCAATTAAAAAAAGAATACTTCCTGACAGTACACACACTCAAACAGGAAATATGGCAAGCCTGTATCTAATCTGTTGCCAACGTGAAAAATAACCAGAAAATAAACACACATCATAACAATACACTCTTCTGATGAAATATGAATTAAACAATGTTTCAAAGCAAGCCAAAACCAAGTATCATTTTGTGAAACAAAGTGATATTATGAATGATGGAATGAGAGTTTTAAGGATGATGATGAAGGCAGAGTCAACGGTTAGGTTACTTGTGTGTTCTTTAAATGCATATGATCTAAAATCGTTTTGTCACTCAATTCTCTATGTCTCCTTTCAGAACAAAAGGACACTGGTGAGAGATACAGAGCCGTGTTGTGGCTGTGGTTTCTGACTATAGAAAGAAGATCCTCCTGGATAGTAAAAGAGTTACTACAAAAGAATGCCTGATGTGATTAGTGTCTCTACATTGTTGACAAACGTTTCAAATTCAAAGGGATTGAGCCTTCATCATAATTAGGCTAAACCATGGGTGGGTTTCAATAATCTCATGAGGCTTAACTCCACCACTGATCAAAATCCTTTGTGAGAGCCTAATCGTTGCCAGTTGTGAGTTTGATCTCACTCAATTCTGGATCACTGAACAAAGAAGACATGAAAGGAGCTACAATACATAGAGTATTGAGCCACACCCCATGTCTCCCTGAGAGGGCCACATGCTGACAGAGCCCCAAGAAAAGAAGAGAGAGAGAGACTTCTGGGTGAGACAGGGGAGGAATGAATGAGGGGAGGATGTGGAGAAGAGATGAAGAATAATGACTGATGGCCAGGCATCAGGCCCTTTAAACCAGAAGCAGCATGTCACACAGGCACAGGCTCACCAACGTGCACGCTCATGACCATGTGTATGCTCATGGGCAGAGAAGGGCCATATTCATTCACCAGTCCATTAAATCTAGTTTTTGAGTTAGATAATACTGAGTGATGGCATACTTCCTCCATTACCCAAGCTCATGTTTCCTTCCATCCCAATCATTCATCCCAAATCCATTTTTTTATTTTCCTCAACTGCCACCCATAAAATCACCCCTCCTTCCATGCATCCATCCATCCCTCCTTCTCTCTCTCTCAGTATGAATACGGCCCAGTGAGTTAGGGATGCACATGCCCGGTCAGTGGCTCTCTGTCACACAGTAAACCTCCTAAACCTCCTCTGGTCTAGACAGGTTTGACCACGATGCTGATTCAGGAAGCGTTAGAACAGCGCGGGGACAACGTTAGGGGAAGAGCTGCAGCTCTTCTGTGCAGCAGGATGAGCTGGGGGGGAGCCAGGCCAGGTTTGATCGGGTGGGGTGGGGACACAGCGCATGCTCAACTCAGCCCAGCACACACTCACACAGTTTAGAGAGTGGAGAATGGCAGCTCACTGAATTTATCAATGTTCAGTGTAACACTGTCGGTCTGGCTTTTGTTGAATTTCTTTGTCGATATAAATATGAAGCCTAGCTGTTCTCAAGACGTCAGTGTTGGGTGCATGCTATGAGGGCACAAGCCTCACTCCAGTGAGCTGCCATTACTCCTGTGGGTGAGAGCAGTAAAAGGGGGAAAATACCTGCAGTGACACTATTCCAGTCTAGCAGTTTGTATGAGCGAGTGTTACCCAAGGCTGGGCCAGAACACACCGTTAGTACAGAAAAGAGAGAAAAATAAAAGAGAGACAGTCCAACAAACAAGCACAGCACAACAGCAGCACTCCACAATCACTATGCAAAGACAGACAGAACTCACAGTCACTAGAAAAAGTACTACAACCTATATGATGGCCTTCTAATACAATCTAGAAAGAAGATGACTGACAAAAAAGAAATTGAAAATAGGGATGAGTCTGCAAAATCAAAAAAAAGAAAATTGGAGAAGAGAAGCTATAATTAAAAAAAAAGGAGCATGCAGCATCAGTCTAAGTCAGGTTTACCTCCACTCCCTGTGGAGTTAACAGTTGGTATACATTCAGGGTTTCTGTATATATGTTTGAGGTGAAACAAACTTAGAAAAGTTGACGTTTTAACTTTTTAAATCGTTGCCAGTCATTGCCAAAACTAGTAGATGGTTCGCATCATCTGCATGCTTGTGCATGTGCGTCCTTGTGCATGATACAAACAAAAACAGGCCCCAACTTGTAAAACTATAGCTACTTTTACGATTTAAAAAGTTCCAGTCTGGCTTCAAACCCATGCACAGCACTGAAACAGCCCTTTTAAGAGTTTTTAATGATCTGCTCCTAGCCGCCGACTCAGGTAGCCCAGCTGTCTTGGTGCTGTTAGACCTGACAGCTGCCTTTGACACTGTCACGGCTTGAACAGTCCGCTGGCATCACAGGCTCTGCCCTTGCATGGTTCAGGTCCTACCTGACAGACCGTAGCTTCTCGGTACAGCTAGGTGCCTTCTCCTCTGCCAAAGCCCCTCTTACCTGTGGGGTTCCCCAAGGCTCGATTCTGGGCCCCATCCTTTTTCTACTGTACATACTGCCCCTAGGTTCAATACTCACAAAACATAACATTCCCTTCCACTGCTACGCCGACGATGTACAGATATATCTGCCTCTCAAAGCAAATGTCACACACTCACTACAGCAGCTGATGGACTGCTTAGCAGAGATAAAATCCTGGCTGAGCAAAAACTTCCTCAACCTCAACGAGAGCAAGACCGAGGTCATCTTTTTTGGACCCCAACCTCCAGCCTCTCCGGTTGATATTCTGGGCTCTATCAAAAAAAACATCCTCCCCTCGGTCATGAACCTTGGAGTGACATTCACCAGCACTTTTAAATTTGACAAGCAGGTCAGCACCGTAGTAAAATCCTGCTTTTTTAAAATAAGACTATTGGCCAAAACCAAGTCGTATTTATCTTTTAAAGACTTAGAAAGGGTTATCAACGCCTTTGTAACCTCGAGACTGGACTATTGTAACGCTCTGTATGTGGGTATGGACCAGGCCTCAATCAAACGCTTACAGCTAGTCCAAAACGCTGCTGCACGTTTGCTGACTGGTCACAAAAAGCGCGACCACATCACCCCTATTCTGGCCTCACTACACTGGCTTCCAGTTCGGTTCAGAATTGATTTTAAAATCCTTTTATTTGTTTTTAAAGCACTAAATGGGCTGGCTCCGGCCTATATAACTGAACTGCTCCAGCGCTACACCCCAGCCAGAGCTTTAAGGTCTGCTGACCAGCTGCTGCTGGTAGTGCCCAAGACCAGGCTAAAAACCCGAGGGCACCGAGCCTTCGCAGCAGCTGGCCCTAGGCTCTGGAACACTCTGCCCCTCCATGTGAGGTCGGCCCAGACCCTAGGGGTTTTTAAATCAAAACTAAAAACACACTTCTTCTCTCTGGCTTTCTAGTTAGAGCGGAGCACGACTCCTGACTTTTCCTTGTGTTTTATTCTTATTTTGTTTTTTAAGTTATATCTGTTGTAATTTATTGTCGTTTATTGTGTTTTGTAGTAATGTGTTTTTATTACATGTACAGCACTTTGGCTCGACCAAAAATCGCTTTTAAATGTGCTTTATAAATAAAACTTGATTTGATTTGATTTGATTTGATTACTTGTGGTCAAAAACTCCACAGGGTGCCTTATAGGCTCTGTAGTAAGTCAGTGACATTGAGCAGAGCTGTTAAACCTGCAATTTTGGATCAGCAAAAACCTTAAGAAAGCTATTCTGTTTACACTAGTTAGTTAAAGAGATATACAGTAGGCAAAGTTATTATATGCATAGACCTTCTTGAAGATTATCAGTACAGTGTTTTTTGGATATCTTATATTAGTTTCCCTGAACAGCTCTAAATAGAAAAGGCTTATTGTAACACAGCCAACATTAATGAGCGCTCCCCTGTCCCTACATTTTCAAACATCCTAGAGTCAAAGTTGTAAAAGACCATTAAACTAGCAAGGGTATTATTTACTGAAGCTACTAAGACCTTTAACAGGCAGGTACTTGCCTAAGGGCAACCGTCTTATTTTAATGATGATTTCAACATAGAGTTAAGAATCTTATTTGATAATTGATGAGCACATTTTATAAACACCACAGTACCTCACCACAGCGCCACCTGCAGCCAACAACACCAGGCAACAGAAGCAGCAGGCGACAGAATGGAGCCATGCAACACTACTGCACCTCACCTCCAGGGAGCAGCACCTCAGCACACAATTAACACAGCGACACACACACAGACACACTCACACACAGCCATCACATGACCAGAACAGACTTTACATACCACAAAGCCAGTCAGTCAATCACAAGGTGAAAGTTGCCCCTATCCATATAACGGGTTTGACACAACTGATGAAGAGCCTGTGCTAACTTAATTTCCATCAAAATGCTACAGCCTAAAAGTGTGACCAGGAACAGCTTTCACCTGCTTTGGAACAGAACTGAAGTCTTTCAACATAATTGTTCTAAACAATCAAACTGATTGGGACTAGGACACAGAAAGAGATAGTAATGGGAAGCATTAACAGCCAGTTGCAACAAAACAGCACACTCACAAGATAATGTAGGTCAATGGAGGAGCTCACTCGTATCGCTCAGACGACAATGGACATTAGAAAGTGATGTGCCTATGAGCGCTGCACTTACCAGGGTTGTGTATACGGTCCAATAGTTTGACAGAGCGAGCGCTGACCACTCCACCGACATGAACCAGAAAACCAGGAGGGAAAGACGTCAAGGTGAAAAAGGGGAACTCCTGCAGATAGAAAACAGTTGTGTCACTTACAGTACAGTAAGGGAGAACACACTCTGGACTTGCCAAAGTATCTTTTTACTAATCATCAGTGACTGCTCATTGGTTCTAAAAGTTAATCAGATTGTATTGTTATTCAGAAGTATATATCTTAGTGAAAACATTTGTTAATCTAATATTTGTATTGGGGCTAAAGGTGCAAGAATACATATATTTAAATGTTTACATTTGTCTCTCAAGGCATAAAGTAAAAATGTATTGATTACAAGAAACATGTTTTTCTAGGCTCTGTATCTTCGACTGGTGTGTGTAGGCTTAAAACTATTGTTGTGTGAGGAATAGTGCCAACATGCAGCAAGGATTGAGTGTGATGGTGTCCCCCCATGCAAGGTTTACCCCTGAGAAGTCCCCCACTCGATCCATTCCAGGCTACACTTGTAGACACAAACATTTCAAATAGATCTGCAAGTGATTGAATTTAATTTTTTTTACTATAAAGCCTACATACTGTATTTGGTATCACTGATTCAGTGATCCATTCAATCCTTACAAATCTATACAAATGAATCAATTAGGTTTGGAGTTGAAAGTGAAGGACAAACACACACACACACACAAGGTCCTGGCTGAAGGTATTTACATGCTATCCTGTCCATTAACATGACAGTTGGTCCTTTGCTTCCAGTCAAATAATTCTAATCCATGCACTCACGAAAGGAGCTGGAAATACTTGTACCGCCCGTTAGCCTCTTGGTATAGTTTGAAGTAATGACCACCTTTACAGAAAATCTGAGGGACGTCCAAACATGCATGTAGATGTGATGAATGGCTTTGGTGGGAATAATCAGGTGGGACCACAGATAAGCTTGTTTCTTGTCCGGTACTCCAGCAAGGGAGATAGCTACTACTTTAACTGAGAACTCCTCCCACTCGGAGCAAGGAGGCAAGAATGAGGATGAGGTGAGCGTGCTCATTTCCGTTGTTGATACAGGAAAACCAAATCAGACTCAGGAAAATAATTCAGAAAGGAGGGGAGGTGTTTGACATGAGTATCCAGAAGGCACACACACGCACAGTCACGCAACCCTTCAAACTTGAAGGGAACACAACTCCTAGCCTCCGAGCCCTCCGGCAAACATGTCTGTGAATCTTTTAGAGTGTGCCGATGGGGGCCGAGCAAATACAAAAGCAGGGGTCACACAAGGACCACCTGCCATGCTGCTCAGCCCAGCCTGCCACTCTGAGATCTACAGACAGCACAGGAGGGACAGGTTAGGAGTTGATCAGACGTGGTGGTGGTGGTGGTGGCCATCAGTTGGTCAGGGTGTTAGGGGAAAGGTGGAGAGAGAGGAAGTGCCACACTGATGGGACATACCCTGGCGTTTAACAATAACCCAGAGGAGGACGCTCCCTGAGTAGCACAAATGGTCAAAAGGACAAAGAAAGGGAACATTACTTGCCCTTACACAGACCCACTCCCCATTAAACACGTACATGTCAATTAGTGATCTTTCACAAAAAATGCAGGTGTGAAAAAAGTGTTTGACACTGTGAGACATCTGAGACTGAAACACTTAATGCAAACTAGTTTTCAAAGCATCTCATAAATGCAAAGTCTAGCTCACTACTTTGACTATGAAGTGTTTATTTCTTATGAGTTTCATTGCAGTGATGTAGCTAGTCAATCAAGGCCCAGTCTGAAACAAAACACAGTGTATGTGAAATTCATGAAACTTAAATCGTGCAGGGTAGTTCAGTCTCAAATGTCTGCAATTTAGTTGGTAAATACATGTATGAGAATATGATGAGTTGAGTCATCGTACCCTCTGCTCAAGAGCCGTCTGCGTCTGCTGTCTGAGCAGGGTCTTCAGAGGCCCCGCCTCCTTCCCGGCGCTGCCTCCATTGCCCATTCCTGATCATAGAGGAGTCCAGCTTCAGTTTTTGTTACTTGAAACACACACATCAATGCACTAAAAATCCAAACTGTCAGTTGATTATTGACATTGCAGTATTAAGTTATTCTGACAAACCAAGTAAAAGCAACAGCTGAAGTAGCAACACCCTAGACAGAAAACAGTAAACAAACCTGCTTTACCCTCATGCTAAGACTACCCTACTCTTAAAATGTTTTCCTATTCATATATTAATACTGAACCTAGAATAAGGTATGCCTGATAAATACATCAAACCACATGCTGGAGTAGGACTCTAAGTTAGTCAGTAGTGTGGTGTCACAATAAGCTCTGGGCAGTTGCACCATGCATGGTTCATTTGTTTCGGATAACACCAAGTCAATCTGAACAGTTCTGCTGTTGACCCAATATACAAGAGAGGCGCCAACACTGTCGTGAGGTTCCGTTACTTTGTGACACACAGCGGTCCTACTATACCGGAGGCTGCCAGCAGCAGGTCCTCTGTGAAGGACACGCTTTTTCTCAGCAAGACAGTGTCTGAGTGGATGCTGAAGGGAGGGGGCGGGGTGCTGGCTCTATGAGCAGAGTTGTGACCACAGATCACTGAGCCAGAACCAGAAAGGGACAGAGTGTCTGTGGAGAGGGTGGGGGAGCTGGGGCACAGGAAGATCCCAGGCCTGCTTCTCACTGGCTTCACTATCCAGCAGAAAAACAGATGGAGGGTGCACAGAGAAACACAGATATATTCAGAATGGCAGACAGGCAGAGCAAAAAAGGAGAGGAGTCAAGAACACAACAACAAGGAGGGGGGTAAGGACGTGATGGGGAGAAAAGGGCGGTAGCGTAGAGAAAGAATAAACTGACAATCAGATGAAATGTATAATTTTGTTTCACTTCATTTGCTAAGCGCAATGCTCAACAAAGGAAGTATTCTCGTTAGCCAGGTGCAGAGAATATGAGAATTATATGACAGAGCAGACGAAATATGATAAGAAAGGAAAGGAGAGGAGAGGAAACAATAAGGAGGGATGTCGACTTGGGGGACTGCTGGTCGCCACCTGAGGGGTCCGGGGAGCGGCTCTGGTAACAAGGATCTTCAGGCTAAACAGTCGATTACAGCTGAACTGTGTTAATGAAATATGTCCTTGAGGGCAGGGTTTCACTAAACTTACCTTTTCTTCAATGATTAACCATAATGGCTGCTAATGAAGAAGTGACCTTAGATCAGCAAACAGCCCCTCATGGGACACAATGCTTCTACAACAACAACAACAAGGGGGGATATGGTGTGTCTTCACAAAATTAAGCACATTTGAAAGAAATCGTGATTATTTTTGTTCAATAGTGGGGAAAAAAGAAGACACACCAGGCCACTGAGAAGGGAGAGGATGGGACATGACATGTTGTACAAATATTTAGGACACGATTTATTATAAAATAATTTTAACAGAACCATGAAAAATGTAAAACATAAATAAACAAAACATTGAAAAAAAAATACCACCATAGTAGCACCACAATGAGGTGAGGGAGAATGGAGGGGTTAGAATGGGAGTAGAAGATGGGGCCACGTGTCCTTACCCGTCTTGGGCGTCAAACTGAGGTCTGTGTCTGATGATGAGGACTGGCGGCTGCATGGCTTGGAGGGAGAGAAGGGGGGAGGGGAGGAGGAGGTGGTGGTGGTGGTGGGGAGGGCTCTGAAAGGGGTTGACGGGCCGGAGGACAGGGTCAGGTCCTCAGCAAATACCGGCCTGCCAGGAGAACATGACACACACACACACGTCAGTCACCACCTCACCCTCTGAGTGTGTGGGTGTGTGTATACACAGGACTGGGTCATCGTTGCTGTTTTTTGGGGAGGTTTCTGTGTTAATGTATGATTTGTTTGTATTGGGTGAGGCGTGTTTGAGGTGCTACAGATGGTTGGAGAAGAAAAAAAAAAAGCAAGCATGGAAAGCAAAAACACAAACACACACAAACATTAAACTAAAGAAAGCACCATGGCAAAACACAAGAAGGTGAGATTGGATAGAGGATAAGGAGCTGAAGCATGTGTCCCAGTGGAGGGAAGAAAAGGTCAGGTGACTGTGGAGAGATCAGAGGCCCTTGCAGAAGGATGCAACGGGAAACCTGCCCACCCTCTACCGTGGGAAAATGACACGGGGAAGAGGGCTTTCAGCCTAGTATGAAAGTTTGGTCTTGCTATAAAGAAGGTAAAGGGTCTGTCTTCCTTCTTTGTCTTGATATCTCAGTCTACAGAATGGCTATATCGCTACTATTGGACTGTCAACCTACCAAACTCCAGCAAAAATATATTCACTTTTCTCCTTTCATATTACTTCTCTTTGTATTTAAAACTTTGTGTCTTTCTTTTGTATTATTTCCTTCCCTGCCTCTGCGTACCAGTGAAGATGAGTGTGGGGACAGAGACAGAGAAGTTCTGGGACAGTCTCTGGGAGCTGCAGGCCGAATGCACTGGGCTGTTGTGGGTGGAGCGGCATCCGTGGGCAAGGGGAGACCTGGGCCAATCAGCACGCAGAGGGAGAAGACAGAGGAGCGATTTGGACACAAGCAGTGAGAAACGTCCCAATCCAAATGTAGCCAGAGAGCCAGAGAGGGAGAAAGAGATGCACACAAGAACCAACACCACAACATTGCAATAGAGTGTAAATGGAGACGAAAAGGAAAAAAACGTTTGTTTTCACGCTCTCTCTATGTCCCTGTTATTCTATTTAAAGCCACATGAAAGCAGCAAGGAACTCAATAGCCCTCAGCTAAAGATATCAGTCTCACACAAACATGCGCAACAGGGATGCAAACACAAAATAAAACAAGTCCAAAACAGGCACAGGGACAGCAGTAGAAGGTCTGTGACTAACGATCATTTTCATTATATTTAATCTTTATAATATTTACTAAATGTATTGTTAATCTTTTGCTGTATGAATTTTCAGAAAATAATAAAAATGTTCATCCCTGATACCCAGAGTCCAAGGTGCTGTTATTAAATGCCTTGTTTGGCCAATAGGTTTCCAATGAAGGACATTTTCGTATTTAAAAGGCTGAAAACTGCATTTTCTGCATTTCCTGCATGAAAAGGTGTTAAAATAGATACAACTCTAACCTTTAGAGACATTTTTAGAAATGTATCCCAAAAGAAACTGACAGAAAGTTGAGGAGTGGAGAAACCTTTGCAGAAACCACCAAAAGATGTTTACATGCCTAATATACACAATCCCACGTGCACTGGCAAAGATATATATTTCATACATACAAAATAGAAGTAAACATGCACTCAACTCTAGATAAGCTTACAGTAATTGGATGAAATCACAAGCTAACCACTCTATACTCAGGATGAGGACAACAGAACAAAGTGAAGGAGCTTGATTTGAAAGCTAGATACTCACAAAAAGACGCAGCACTAAAACATGCAGAAGCAGAAAGTAATGCCACAGCTGTCTATCGAGCAGACAAGGACGGGGGCGTTGAGGGAGGATGAATGTGTGTACACTGTACATGTGTGTGTCTCAGGATATGTTGTGTGCTGTTAGTTTTCATAGTACAATACATATGACACAATAAACAAACAACTACAAAGAGGAATCAAAGATTCTGAGACACACACAGGAGTAACTGCTATACACACACTAGCATTCACTACCTTTTATCCACACGCTCTCCCTCTCATGCACACACCATTCTTCTTTCCCCATTCTCACACACTCGATTTGCAGACAAACTTGCACATTAGAAGAGGCAGGGTCCATGCTTGTGTTGATGGTTCATACTCACTCCTTTCCATCCTTAGAAGGGGAATTGCAGGCATTGGAAGGCGGGGCTGTGTTAGGGTGCATGTGTGTGTTGGAGTTAGGGGCGCTTCCAGAGCTGAGTTTGTCCAGTGTGCAGGCGGTACCTATGGCCCGGACCACCAGGCCTGACTCTCCCTCCAGGTCAAAACACTGCAAATAGCCCACCACTGCATTTCCGCCCATCTCCAGTACCTTAAGCCCTATTTTCCTCTGTAGCTCTCCTAAATAAGGAGTAAAACACAGCCATATTAACAAGAGGCAGAACAGGAACGACCACATTTTTCTTTCTCCACGCCAAAATGAAAAAGGGATCACTGGGAATGTTCTTACCGGACATGAGAGAGATGAGCCTCTGACGGGCCTCATTGGAGGCCCGAGGAGTTCTGATACGGTCGATCCACTGGTACTCCGGATCTTCATTCACCACAAGTTCCTCCACAAACCCATGTACCATCGCTGCCTTGTAGCACCGTGGAATGGATGAGGCTACGATACACAATCAGACAAACACCACATAGAATGAAAGGATTTTAAATTGAGAATAGTTTATCTAAACTTTCCTATAATCCTATAGCTATAATTCCACTTGTAGCACATAACGAGTGATCATTCCTGGTTTAACTGTACACTATTGGCAGTGATAAAACCTGTATTTTTGTTCATATTCGAAATGAAACCCAAACTACATTTTGTCAATCTGCATTGCTAGCACACAAATTATTTTTTATAAGATATTTTAACAGTAAACAAACAATTGTGAACAGAAAGTCAAGTCAGACTTACTGCAGAAGAACTTGACCCCACAGGACGACTGTCTGAAGCGGTTCAAATCATTGAAAAGCTCCACTTTGACGAGAACATTAATCTCACCTCGAATACCTAATAACAAACAATAGAAATAGAAATTATAATAAAGAATGGTAAATATTGAAAGTTTTGCAATTATCATAGTCAGATGAGTTTCCTGTTGTACCGTGGATTGTATCATAGATAGGGAACCAGCCAGAGATGACAGAGGCAGCCTCACTGCACAGCAGCGGGTCAATGTCAATGTAAACTTTCCCTATGGCATCATTAGCACTGTAAGTATCGTGGTCCAACACTGTGACCTGCAATGGCTCATCCTGCAAGTCCTCATCATCAACCTGCAAATCAAGAGAGGGAAAGAAGAAAAAAGAGCAGATAAGAGTGTAAGTAAATGCTAACATTTAATGAATGTATATTGTGTGGTGTATTAAAGGCACACTATCACTTCCTGCAATGTAAAAGAGAAGCTCATAGGCCTTTTACCTCGAATTTGAACCATTCTGAATTCCACTGTGGGTTGAGGGATTTGGGACAGACATCGGTTTTAAAAGTTGTGTTTCCAAACTTAACCTGAGAAATGAAAGACAAAAGACAAGAAGCTTCTTTGAGTAATAGTGAGATACAGACCATACTGAACCCAAGTGTAAAATGTATGTTGTCACAGGTGTAAATGGTTTCAGTAAAGCAAACTAAAAGTCGTGATCTGCAGGCTTCACTCACCTCTACAAAAGCATCAGTAAGGTCACTGGCTCTGTCCATCACAGGCAAGTGGCGCCCTGCCACAATTTTGGCCTTCAGTTTCCCAGGCATGATTCACTTTATAGTTGAACTGTAAACAAAACAATAAAATAATAATAATTCGTGTTTCAATGGTGTTTTGGACAAACAGTTATCAACGCTGCTGTCACTATCAACAGGGAACAGAGTGGAACACTTAACAACATAGCCATTTGTTGTTGACAGTTTGGACAGCCCCTTATTTAACTTACATGTCCATGAGCTAATAAGCTAGCTTACTTAGCTAAATGTAACGCTCCTAGTCTAACTCCAAATGGTTTTATCAACTTGCTTCAAATATATCTATTGAACTAACGTTTATAAACAAGACATCAACTGTCAGTTAGCTAGATTGTGTTAGCAAAGCAAGGCTAGCAAGAAAATCCACTTAGGGTAACTGCATTGCAGTCAATCTGCTTAGCTCTACCTGGATCGGCCATGTTTCAACAATAATACTGCAAAGCCCATGTACTAATAATATGACTTTGCTAATACAAGTTTAAACAGTATAATCCTTACCGGTGCTAGACTATGAACTGTCAATGTGGACCTTATTGTTGTCATTACTTTTGACAGCCAACCGCTCGTCTGACCTCCGTTTATCTCCCATAACACGACACGTTAAATCGGTTGCTAGTACACCAGGCAGGAGAGTGTCGTTTGAATAATATTCAAGTGAAATTACAGTTTATAAATGTACGGTACACGTAAGGACCGACTAATCAATTAATTACACCTATCAGTGATTAGCGTGTAAAGCTAACTGCTAGCTTCATGAGGGTCCAGCTCATGATGAATGAGTTTCCACCACGGGTTACTGTGTGCTGCCTTCAGGTACACCGCGTATACTCGTTCTTCCATTCAAAACACTACAAAAACAGAAACGAAATTAGCCTAAACAACAATTACGTTCACTGTAAGCACAAATAAGAATACAATAGACAAATGAATACACTTAGCAGCACTGTGAGTAGATTTAGGCTTTTCGTGGTGTCTTAAGTAGCTACGTACACACAAAAAGACAATATAACGAAGTTACCTAAAGGCATCACTAGGGTTCGTCTTGGACATGCGCAGTGAAGGTCCTCTTCCTCTGAACAGACACTTTCCCAAGAAAGCTGGTACTAACATTTGATATAAATATGACATCTCTGTTATGTTATGTCAATGTTTGCCACTGCGGTCAAACCAGCCTCCACTTCGGAAAACACAATCAAGCCAGCCCCCACGTTGTATTGCGGTGCGCGAATATCCTATGCATTACGGTAGAGGCCTGTAAAATCTGCCTTCAAAATAAAAGCGCTTACTCGGTCAATAACAAATATACCTAAAAAACATACGAAACATATTCATAAATACTGCTGGAGCTTAAATTAAGAAATATGTACTAACTATATAATGTGATCAATAATAATTTAAAACAAACTACGTATAATAACTGAGTGAATGTAAAACTTAAGGATACAGTTATGAAGACTTATCTGACCATTAAATTCATTATTAAAATGTCCATTTCCACTGGGTGACTAATTTCAATTGATGTTGACACCATTTCACAACACTCCTAAAATAACATGACTATCTGAAGCACAATTTAAAATGTATGCTGTTTAAAATCTCAAATTAGATCTATTGTCCATCTATATTTTTGATTATTATTTAATGGAAACTGTCCATAATCAAAGAGCCATTCGAAGTCAATCAAAGACTAATATCACTCCAGGGTGATAGCAGGACACCCCATCTAGTCACTCAGAGAAAATCAGGACAATCTGATGTAGAGTTTCAAAATAAAAGACCTTTGAAGTCTCATATATGAGCTATCATCCCTCTGTTTTTAGATAAGAATAAAACTAAAACTCTCCAGTATCAAATACTTATTTCACTTCAGGGTGATGGCAGGACACCCCATCTAGACACTCAGAGAGAATCAGGACAATCTGATGTAGAGTTTCAAAATAAAATACCTTTGAAGTCTCGTATATGAGCTATCATCCCTCTGTTTTTAGATAAGAATAAAACTAAAACTCTCCAGTATCAAATACTTATTTCACTTCAGGGTGATGTCAGGACACCCCATCTAGACACTCAGAGAGAATCAGGACAATCTGATGTAGAGTTTCAAAATAAAATACCTTTGAAGTCTCGTATATGAGCTATCATCCCTCTGTTTTTAGATAAGAATAAAACCAAAACTCTCCAGTATCAAATACTTATTTCACTTCAGGGTGATGGCAGGACACCCCATCTAGACACTCAGAGAGAATCAGGACAATCTGATGTAGAGTTTCAAAATAAAATACCTTTGAAGTCTCGTATATGAGCTATCATCCCTCTGTTTTTAGATAAGAATAAAACAAAAACTCTCCAGTATCAAATACTTATTTCACTTCAGGGTGATAGCAGGACACCCCATCTAGACACTCAGAGAGAATCAGGACAATCTGATGTATTTGTTTTATTCTTATCTAAAAACAGAGGGATGATAGCTCATATATGAGACCTCAAAGGTCTTTTATTTTTGAAACTGTACATCAGATTGTCCTGATATTCTCTGTGTGACTAGATGGGGTGTCCTGTTATCACCCTGAAGTGAAATAAGTATTTGACATCCATCCATCCATCCATCCATCCATCCATCTCCATCCATGTCCTGATTCTCTCTGAGTGACTAGATGGGGTGTCCTGTTATCACCCTGAAGTGAAATAAATATTTGATACTGGTTAGTTTTTGTTTTATTCTTATCTAAAATCAGAGGGATGATAGCTCATATATGAGACTTCAAATGTCTTTTATTTTGAAACTGTACATCAGATTGTCCTGATATTCTCTGTGTGACTAGATGGGGTGTCCTGTTATCACCCTGAAGTGAAATAAGTATTTGATACTGAAGAGTTTTTGTTTCATTCTCATCTAAAAACAGAGGGATGATAGCTCATATATGAGACTTAAAAAGTATTTTATTTTGAAACTCTACATCAGATTGTCCTGATTCTCTCAGTGACTAGATGGAGTGTCCCACACCGCAATACAACGTGCGGGCTGGTTTGACTGTGTTTTCCCAAGTGGATGCTGGCTTGCAACCTAATATATGTATGCTCTTATAATATTAGACTTGTTTGCCAATAATACAACCCAACAGATTTGGAATCGGACATGACCCCACCTTGAATTTAAAAACGCATATTGTTAGCGAAGTATTACGGCAAATTATAAGAGTCTCTTAAAATAGAGATTCCAGAAGGTCTCTAAAACAAAAATAATATATTCAATAAACTGAGTGGGTACATGTCTCTGATATTGTCTTTGTGTTGCCTGCTGCAGGTTTGGATGGAACAATAGAGGACATCAACAGAAGGCAAGAGGAGTATGGACAAAACATCCTCCCTGCTCAAAAGGTAAAAACCTTTCTGCAGTTGGTGTGGAAATCCCTGAATGATGTCACACTCATCATCCTGCAAGTGGTGGCCTTCACTTCTCTAGCACTTTCCTTCTACAGTCCATCCAGTGCTGAAAGACAGCGTGAGTTTTGATTTAGCTTTTAAACAATCAAATGAAACCTTTACATCTTCAAATAAGTATCTTTCTTAAAACTTTTATTTTTAACCTGTGCTTGTAGACACCTCACTGGCTTATTTTCAGGTACAAAAAATGGCTGTTTTAATTAAAGGTTAATGCTACACATCGTTAGTGGGGTGGCAGCTTTGAGTGACAGATGGGTGCGTCTCCGGTCACTCACACTCCGCTTTGAAACAGTCTTTTACTCAGTATAAGATCCGCATTGAGCCTCTAAAGCTTGATTTTCATTGCATATTTAAATTGTACCTGTTTTAATATCATCATCATCATCATCATCATTTAACCCATAATAACCCGGACCCATTTCTACTTTTGGGGAAATTAAGGGGAACATAATTTAGACTAAATAGACCCTAGAACACATTTCTGACAAGAAACCCCCCCTAGTGTCAAATATCTGAAATGTGACATATATGTCACATTGGGCTTTAATGGTATTTTTAACTTATTAATGAGGATGATTTGTTGGACATTCTTTGAATTGAAGAATAAGAACATATCAACTCAATATAATTGAATCAGCTAAATTAACTGAGCAGATCATAATAATATTTCTAATTGTGCATATATGTCACTTTGGGTTCTGTTCACACTGTGGCAAAGTGGCTGGCGGCGTGGTGGAAGACAGTGAGGCGGAGGCTGGATGGATCGAGGATGCAGCCATCCTCCTGTCCGTGGTCTGGGTCGCCCTGGTGACGGCCTTCAACGACTGGAGTAAGGAGAAGCAGTTCCGCGGGCTCCAGAGCCGCATCGATCAGGAGCAGAAGTTCACCGTGGTCCGAGCAGGGCACGTGATCCAGATCCTCGTGTCGGAGATGGTCGTCGGAGACATCGCACAAGTCAAATAGGGTGAGGGAACAAGTGGATCAGCTGAAGCACAGCTCGCCAGTGATTGAAAGTGATGCCAAAATAACTGCTTGCAATATCCTAGCTGTTTGAAAATGCGTTGTCAGTTTTGACAGAGTTGCACTTGCAATTCTTTATAAAGAAAAACATTTCTAAAGCAATAACCTACAACTCTTCATCCCTGGCCAGCAGATAACTCCCAGCACCATACTTTGTTTGATCCGTCTGCTACATTGTACTTACATGCATACTTTTTAGAATTGCAAATGTATTCTTGTCTGTTCTATAGTGTGCATTTAGATTTAGATACTCTCATTTTACAGTGAATATGGATATTATTGCTTTAACCTTTATTTCTCTTCTACTGTATTTTACTATAATTTTTCAGATTTATTCTATTTCGTTTTTTTGTTCTATTTTGTATTTATTTTGAAACTCTACATCAGATTGTCCTGATTTTCTCTGAGTGACTAGATGGGGTGTCCTGCTATCACCCTGGAGTGATATTAGTATTTGATTGACTTCGAATGACTCTTTGATTATGGACAGTTTCCATTCAATAATAATGAAAATATAGATGGACAATAGATCTAATTTGAGATTTTAAACAGCATACATTTTAAATTGTGCTTCAGATAGTCATGTTATTTTAGGAGTGTTGTTAAATGGTGTCAACATCAATTGAAATTAGTCACCCAGTGGAAATGGACATTTTAATAATGAATTTAATGGTCAGATATGTCTTCATAACTGTATCCTTAAGTTTTACATTCACTCAGTTATTATACGTAGTTTGTTTTAAATTATTATTGATCACATTATATAGTCCATATTTCTTAATTTAAGCTCCAGTATATATGAATATGTTTGGTATGTTTTTTTAGGTATATTTGTTATTGACCGAGTAAGCGCTTTTATTTTGAAGGCAGTTTTTACAGGCCTCTACCGTAATGCATACATAGGATATTCGTGCACCGCAATACAACGTGGGGGCTGGCTTGACTTTCTTTTCCGAAGTGAAGGCTGGCTTGACCGCAGTTGTTTACTGCAGTTTCATTTGACTTTTTTATATGTTTTATATCAAGCCGATGTGATAGTGCCTTGACCAAGCGAATTCTCTAATATGGAGAAGGGGGCAACTACACTGGTTGTAAAGAGAATACAGTTGTGTAGAGGTCAATGAGAAAATTAAACTTTTTATCACTGAAAGTTTTCGAGTTTATGGTCTCAATCTGTAATGTCATATACTTATTTCTAAAAGTTATGATCCATTTTGATTAATAAACAGACAATAAAGCAGGGAATGCTTTAGAGCAGGGCTACCTTGTGATTGACAGGACACTACCTGTGTTGTCTGGTTTGCAAGTTGTCTGTAATTTCGTCTTAAAAGTTCAACCTCTCTCACAATGTGTTTCCTGTTCCAGAAAAGTATGTGTAACCTTTTAGATGCCTTAAGATATCTTTATCAGGGTTAAGTCAGTGTCACTTTGATTAAAAAAAAATAGTAAGATGGGGATGGAAAACACCAAGACGGCAATGTCCAAAATGCTCAATGCTTAAAAACCGTGGTCCATCAACCGATGGTTGACATTAATGACCATGATTTGTTTTCTTATATAGTCTATGGTTTTGCTAGGATCATCTTTCTAATTTTCTTTAGACTTTTTAATATAATATGTAATGTGGGAAACAGCTGGGAATCTGATTTGGCAGGTGAAACTGTTTTATTTGTCAGTGTTTTTGTTTTAATATCCATTAGCCACAAAAGGTAACTATCCTGGGGAAACCATTTTTTGCCACCTGTTTCACAGATGAAACATATTATTCAAGGAACTTAGAAAATAAATCCTGCAATACTTTAGTTTTACCTTTCTAAAGTAAATTACAACAATTTAGATAAAACTGAGACAATGGATAGCCAGAATGTTTTTTTTCAACTTGCCTCTCAGGGTTTCCGTAAGAAATCCCAGAATTATCTTTTTATTTTGCTCAGTGCTCTTTGAAGAGGACCAACCGAGGCCTATTTGTCATGAAATACTCCAATACTGAGCCATGTCCCAGGTGGATTTGTCTGAATTAAAACACAAACTAGCATCTCACATCAGTCTAGAGGGGAAGTCCGACCATAGGTTGGTATTTATGGTCTGCATGTATCTGTGTGTCTATCTAGAAAACAAAATGTCTGCGCCGTCCCTCGAACTGAGAACAGGGAGTCATTGCTCAAGATTAGGTTACATATGTAAGACCAACTGTGCTATTGTAGCAAACTCGTCTCACCTGGACCCATTTTAAAGGTTACATTTTTCCTTAGCTGGCTGTTTTACATTACAGCCCCTTGTTTATTACACAAGTAAAAATAATAACAGAGGGATATGATGATCAGGGAGTTATTTAACCCTAAAATAGATATTGTGTGAAAGATGTGTTGCATGCTGTCACGTGCATTTAGGGACTACCCTGAACCTGCTTCTATTTAAAACACTACATGCTTTTGTTCATGTCGGCCCACAAAACATATCAGCACTTCCACAGTAATGAGGCATGCCAGAGCAGGCCGACACCATCAAGGTCAACACTTTGCAACCTTTAAAGGACAGTAACATCTAATGTATGTGCCATAAATAAGAAATACACACTTTATATACACATTTGAGTCATGTCACACAGCACACACTCATATGACCCAAAGTGATTCAGCGTTATGTGAAGGTTTTTTTTCTTCCACTGCAATCCCAAGAGAGAGAAAGACAAAAAAAAACTAAATGTATCTATCTTTAAAGTGAGCACACTCATGACATGGTTTCCATGGTTTCCTTGTAAACCTGTAAACATCCTGTCGGATATGACAGAAATATTGGTTACTTACATAAATCAGCTGAGTTGGGGCATAGCCATCAATCGCTCAATACATGCTGGGACTCCAATCTGGCCAAGAGGCTTTAAAAACAATACATGCAATATATGTTATGAGAAGATTGAGCAAACTTCCCATGTTGTTTAAGTCTCTGCTGTAGTCATAATAACCCAGACCTGCTGCACTTGACCCAGGAATTATATGGAGGAAATGTAAGCAGTAGTCCTTAAAACAAACACTTGTTGTCTCTATGCTATTGCATTTTAGCATGTATTGTGCTCACATGGTGTATAATCCAAATGAAATGTGTCTTTAGTTTTTGCTGTGTGCTCTGTGTATGATGGGGACTTTTTTGCAATATGGGCTCCGGAGGTTAATCTAACCATGTGTTTAACCTTTGTGCCCCATTTTTAAAATGTGTTCTGATATAATTTGAGGACAACAATGTCCGTGCCAAATATAACAACTGCCATTAAAACGTATTTAATAATATTATTTTACACTTTAGTTACATTTATAAGCACCATCATTCCTGACAAAATATTCATCTATTTATTTAAAAAGCCACTGTTTCCATAATGCTAATGTTGTAGTTATGAAGTAAAAATAAAATCATAAAGGTTGATTATCTTGTTATGCGATATCTGTGATATGGCAAAGATTACCAACAACATTGATTTTGATGCTTTTTTATGTCAAATGGTGAAACCTACACAAAACCTACCCAGTTTATTTTAAACTTAAGGTAAAAGCTGAGGCTAAATTTGAAATAAAAACTCAGACTCATGACAACATAAAGTTGCCTCCCATTATCACAGCCAACCAATTAAATACAATTAGAAGGACATAAAGGTTTCCTGGTGAGGCACCAAGTTTGATTGTGACTTGTTGGGTGCAGAATGCCAAAGAGTGGATGACAAACATAGCACCAGAAAGGTTATTGGGTACAAGTGACCTCTGCTGAGGAGCAGAAAACAATCTTGTTGTTTCTGGGCTTTCCCTGCACACAAGTGCCTGTATTGAGACTCGTTTTGTTCACCCCCTCCAGGATTTGAATGACCAGTACAACAAATATATATTTTTTAGTTTCAGACTAAGGACATCATCCCTTTTGACAGAGGCGATAATTCTGTCAATCAACAGAGCTGTTGAGTTAACAAGCGGTGGTATCCCGTTAATCCCGGTGACCGACCAATAATTTCTGACTGAGAGGTGGGCGGTGTCACAAGGCAAGACAGTGATGCTAGAAACACAGGAGACGTCTCACTACGTCCTTTTTTCAAAGTACCACAATTGTCTTCCTTTACTTCGATATAGACCTGGCACCAATGACAGGATGTTATGAAAATGTTAGCAAAAATCAAACCCGATTTTGATGTTAACATAATTTGAATGTGCTCCTACTTTGTTAGGAAGTTGACAAAAAAAAAAATGTAATTTGAGGGAAAAGTCCAAAGTAGAGCTGAATATTAATGTTGGGTTCACACAAAGAAAGCAGCTGGATGTCAGTCATTTATAAAAAGAAACCTACTTCGCAAGGAAGGAGCATTCACCTTTCATTAGCTATATGTAGTGGAGTGATTCATTGTCTCAATAGAGGATCTTTGGTGCACACATCCAACATATAAAAGCTATCTGCTGTTAAATGCCATTCAAATTTTTCACTGTTTACATTGAGGCATGTTCTGATACTGCAGATTTTGTTTTGTTTACCGGACTATTTCATTTATTTTTCAGATCTATCCGCAATCTAATTGTTTTTTTCAAAGGTGCAACAATGTCTGATGAGTAAGTTCTGTCTTCACACAGGTTAAAAGTTATGTTTTCCACAGTGTTTGTTAGCCTATCAAAGATTTTAGTTTCAGAATAATAACATCGTCTCTTGTTTGATTGTATTTCTGATTTCTTTTATCCCAAAAAATCCATTTGGCCATCAAAGTGATGTAAGTTTCACCCAGAACCACTCTGTAACACTCTCCAAAAAGTTGTTTATCGTTGCTTAAATTAATTGTCTTTATCCTTTCTCCTCAGTACATGCCACCCCCGATTGCCCCGAAGGGAGAGCCAAAGGTAATAATACTTATTTGAACTGACAATGTCTTTATGATAACAGTGACATTGTGCTTTTTTGTCAGTATGAGTCTGTGTCTCTGAGTGAGTGACTCTTTGTAATAAATGTAAAAACGTTCCTAGAAAAAACAATACTATTCGCAATACATTTTAATATATGATTATGATTGCTTTTATTTTTGACCGTGCCAGGTTTTAAGGGACATATAATAAAATACTGTAATACCATTAATGTATTGTGTTTGTAAGTTACATAATAATTCACATTGTCACATTAGTTAGTGGGCAGCTTCAAAGAGGTAACTGCTTGAAAATAGGGATCTATTTTAATATAATATATGTTTTAAAATTAAGAGTGTGTTATCGTAAAAAAATCAGTTGTCATGTGTCATATTTGTTATGTTTTCAGCCCAAAAGCAAGATTTCAGCCTCCCGCAGGCTATCGTTGAAGGTAAACTACCCATGTGTTAACTTTTTACCTTACAAACTATACATCGATCTGTTAATGTGAGGGATTCATTTTTTTATATTAAAACCCAAATGAAATGTAAAAAAGAGCTCTGATGATAATTATAATTATCCAGATCCTGTTACTGACTCGTGCATCAGAACAACTGGAGGCAGAGAAAGAAGCGAGAGAGGAAAATAAGGTCCAGTACCTGGGAGAGAATCTCCCACCGCTCCAGCTCTCCGGTTTGCAATTGGAGGAAATGCAGGTAAAATGTGTTACGAACAATAAGACTAACCATACAAGATTGATTATGTAAATACAGTAATCATGTGTTTCGTTAATGTACTCAAATATAGTGTGGATATTTGTTTGCTGTTTTTTTCTTAGAAAATCTGTAAGCAGCTTCATGAAAAGATTGATAAGGTGGACGAGGATCGGTACGACTGTGAGGCCAAAGTCATCAAGAACAACAGAGATGTATTTCATGCACCAGGACACACCAGATTTAAATGGAAAACAAAATAGAAGCACAAGAGAAATTTATTCTGTAAGCACAATGTCACCAACTCAGTCTTTCACCTTTTCTAGATCCACGAATTGAATCTAAAGGTGCGTGACCTCGGAGGGAAGTTCAAGAAGCCAGCTCTGAGAAAAGTGAGAGTGTCTGCTGACGAGATGCTAAAGGCTCTCTTCGGATCCAAAACCAAGGGCTCCATGGACCTGAGGGCAAACCTCAAGTCTGTAAAGAAAGAGGACATCAAACAGGAGAAGGTACTGCTACTCAGACACAGAGAGAGAACATATATCTGAAACTGAAAAAAAACCTAATGTGTTTCTGTGCTTTTTGATACCTTAGGAGCTGAACAACGAGGTGGGTGACTGGCGTAAAAACGTGGAGGCCATGTCTGATATGAAGGGCAGGAAGAAGATGTTTGATGCATGAGAAAAAGAAAACGAGTGAAATTGTTACTATAAATAAATATTTATACATAATGTTAAAAAAAATTGCTGCTGCTGTATGTTCAAAAATATGACTTTCATGTGCCTGTAGTTTTTAATATATTCTCAAGTAAACCATATGTTAAATAGAGTTGTGAATACACAGTACTGCCTGATAAAGTTGTTATGTAAAAGAAAACAATAAATATGTACATATTGCCTCTCCTTTTGTTGCAATCACACTTATTCACAATAGATTCAAAGTATAGGTATGGAAAGTATTGAAAAACTTGTGTACACATTTAATTTTGACCAAATACTTGAAGTATTCTTCAGTAGTGTTGATATAACGACTAAGTGGGTTAAGGCAAATAGAACAGTCTGATAAGTTCAGAAAATAACATCCTTTTAGCCATGGAGCCATTATAAAAAAGGAAAGACAACCCTTGCACCATGATATGACAACCAAAATTGAAGAAGAAATCTTAAATTTTGCCACATGGATATAATGTATGTATATTTGTGTATTTTACAAATATGTATTATACAGAAACTGAATGTAGCCTCTGCTCTAATACTGCAACACAGTACATTTTCACAGCCAGTTGTTTTTTTAAACTGTAAAAATATTTTAAACATTATCTTCAGGTTTTTATTTATAACTGCAGTGGACTTGGCATTGTCCTTGAACAAAGTTATCAGAAGGGCATAGTGACCGTTTATCATGTACGGTGTCACTGCTTAGCTATGTCATTGACTTACAGACAAAAGTACCGAAGATATTTTCTGTCAGAGCTGGGATATACTTAGCCTTTTCTTTGAACTGGAATGAATTCCTCTCCAATAATAAAGGGTAAACACTGTCACACATGCAGAAGCTGTCCTTGGACTGACTTCAGAAAGTGTCAGTCAAATGGAGTTTGGATGATGGAGCGGTGACAAGATGGTTCGGCAGCCCCCGAGGAATTTATGAGTCCTTGTGAGCATCTGTGAAAATGCAGCATGTGCCTGTGTAGACGCCAGTGTACACTCAAACTATTATTCCTGCTGTCCAGGGCATTTTCATCACCATTGTAAAAGCTTAAAATGCTCCCCATGTGTTTCTCTTAAACTGTGTTGTTAAGACAGAAATATTGTAGGTGTCCATTTTTCTAACATTGGCTGTCTGTTTGCTGTTTTAACAATGCTGAGGGCTGTATGCTAAAGGTGTGAAGGTTATTAATCCTTAACAACCTTCAGGCAAGCAGTGTGTCTTATGTCACATTACAATACTAAACCTTTATTTAACATTGACATTGATCTAATACCCCCAAGTAAACACAGAACGGATTGTGCTTTGATGTCTTTTCTAAAGTGATTTCATGGTATTACTCTCTTGTGATGTGCCATTGCTTTTACTGGCATAATAAATTGCTATATTGAAGGCCTAAACATTTGCAAACTGTTGATTTTTTCCCCCCAAACTTGACTTGATTGCGTTCTTGGGGCCTGGGCAAAAAGCTCTAAAGCACCCCGAACAAAGTTGCCAAAAGGCAGCCCCTCGATCAAGTTTCACCTGGAAATGTGAAATGTTGTGGGCATATGTAGCATGGTGAGACGCACAAAAATAGCTTCTTAAAGGCATATCTTAAATCCAACAGGAAGTCGGCCATGTGATTCACTTAGTTAACGGATATGGATGGTGTGTTTTGGTGTGGCAGGGTGGCTCAATAGCGCCACCTAAAAAACTTTACGAAGCAGCCCCTGCTGTACGTTACACCTAGATTTACAATAACAGGCATGTGAATCATCCATTTTGAGACACTTGCCATGCCACTGAAATGTGTTGTTACTTGGGCATACAATCTCCAACCTGCTCAACATGTTGTGCTTGATAAGAGTCCCGGCCTGAGGACAATTACAGGTTTTGACTAAATGTATTTGCTTGGAACATGGGACATAGCAACATAGCATACATCCTGTTATTCAAAACTGAAAAGAAATTTGAGAATGTGTCTAAAGAGCTATTTTTTTTGTTTTAAGACAGTAAACAGCCAGAATATCTCAGATTTGTGATATCAGTTGAGATTGCTCAGTCCACTACTTGCATTGCATTTTATATGAAAATTAATAAAAGCACACATACTGCATGGAAATTAAGGCAAAAGTAATTTATTTCTCAGATTGGTGAAAGCATGGTAAAAAAGAAAAAACTCTACCTGAGAGAAGAGACTCGTACAACAAGGCAGTTCGTCTGCCAGCACAAAGAGATGGATGAGGTATATCTAAGAATAACAATGTAAGAGATGAAGGAGTAGTAAAAGAGGAAAGCATGAAACATTCTGGTCAAAACAGAAACCACATTTAAAAGTTTCAATGCTTTGCTACATGAACAAGGGGAAATCACACTCATCTTGGCAGTGTTACAAACCAAAACCATCAGTCTGGCATCACACCAGAATTTGGTGTTTTTGATTGCCCTTAATAAAAAGAAAAACAATTCAACATGTATTACATTTCAAAGTCTAAGAAAGGCACAAGACATCTAACTGGAATGTGGACAATCAGAGAAAATGCTGTATTAAATGCCAATAAACAGTATGAAAAAAATACACAATATTTTTCAGCTACAATATTTCCTGTATTACTCTATTTACTGCTGACAGTAAAAATAACTCTTCCCAAGATTCAAGACAGATTTTGTGATTTGTGAAATTACAATTATTTTTCTGAAAAAATAACTATTACGTTTAGCAAATAGAGTAATACAAATAATGTGAGCTGGCAGTACAGACAAACATTTCAGTAAAACTAATCTGTGACTAAAATGGCCCATAATTATATATTTACATTTTCAATAGTCTGTCATGTTAAAAAACATACCCTGATTTTCTTTATATTATAAGGTAGAGGTTATTCCAATCAACTTCTATTATCTTTGGTAGGTGGCAGTGTAGGCAAAAAAGCAGTTATTCTGAGAACAGTTTTTGGTTTCAGTTTTCTCATATTGGATTGTTTATTCATATGCCAACACTGTCTGTGATAAGTTGGGCAACTCAAACATACCTGTCAGAATATAACTAACAGTCCTTCTCTGACAAAACTAGATGATACACTCGTAAAATTAACTTAAATATTTAAATTCTTTCCAGTTTAAGGCTTTTCCTGAATCTGTAAAAACAGCACTTTGTGGCCCCAGTACCTGAATAGCCACATTCACAAAAGAAGGCACATTAAGTATGTAGCCTAATGGAACAAATAAGTGGGGGCACTTAACAGGTAAACGGAGGTACACTTAAAATAACTTTAAACTCAAATCCTACACATTGACAAAATAAATATAAAGTTTTCCATAATTTACAACATGAAAAATAAGGCTGTGTTTACCATAAAGACAATCTGCTGTCAAACACAGATATTTCCTTTTGTCATAAACAAAACAAACAGTTAAGACTCATGTGCAAGACTTGTGATGATATAGGTCACTTGTGTGTGTATACATCCTTGAACTTCCATTTTTAATTCACGTTTTTGTCTTTGGATCAGAGAACTTCCTTTGCAGTAGGTAGTGCAGATGATCTTTGCCTCAGTCAGGTGACATGGTGTATCTTCATTTGTAATATCACACAGTCGTTGGCACTCATCCACCAGTAACCTAGCAGTAGTCAACAGAACATCCAGTGTAATAAACTCTATCAGTAGTATTTCCTTAACAACGATTGTCACTGCTGTGGATTGCTTTTTCTCCACACAGCTCACATAATGAAGACAGTATCCGATCTTTGGACACCGTGGCTGTCGGACAGCAGGATGTACGGTTATGCATGTATCAGGCTCTGGCCTTAAAGTGCTCTGGTTGCCGTGGTTGTAACCATGGCGATCATTGTTATGGTGCAGTGAGCAGGTGACAGGCTCAACTGTGCCTAGGCGACACACGGCGGTTCCACATGCCACGTTTGGAGTGATAGTGGTGGAAGAACTTCCTCAAGTAGAACCTCTCCACCTCCAGTCCTGCCTGGAGAATCCTGAAGAAGAAAGGAGGGGAGAGTTTGGTAACTTACATCTATATTAAGGTTAATAATTGGCCAGCACTCAATGAAAACAGGCGCAAACTGTTTATTCTTGCGGCGCAGATTCCCATATAGATACAAAACTTAAACTACTTATTAACAGAAATACGTATACTAGTTGGTTTAATTTACATTATTTTGTTCAACATTAGATTTCGACTGATTTATTCGAGATATATATTTTTGTATTATAAAAAGGCATGTGAAGGTAAATGCCGCCTTGTTTTTTCATCTGATTATTAAAAATGGCTTCTAACCTAAAAATAATAATAATAATAATAATAATAATCTTGCAACATAATGCAGCATGAGGTCCCTGCTCACTGTAATATCCACTGCTTTAGGAACATTAAAAAAAATTACGCAAGGACACTCTTACACTGTTGTGTATCACCTGTTTGTCCTATTCAATGCATTAAAGCAGTTATTTTGTAATCCATCTGCTCCACTCAGTGTTTACACACTCAGCCAAGAGTTCTTTTAAACAACTTTAAAGGGACATGCATGAACTTGTTAAAGTCGAGTATGTAAGTGGAAAGACCATTATTACTGTTGGTAACAGCAACACTGAGTGGCAACACATATTTCAAATTGGCCTATTAAAAAAAATATTATTCACAATAAAGTGGAACAAAAAACATGAATTTCAAATAGAGGAAATAGACAAAGAAAATATGAGCAAGAAAAAAATTAATCTGAAGAAACAAGGAGAAACCTGTCGAGGAGCTCCCAGTCTTCTCCTCCCCAGCGCTCTTTGAATTCCTTGGTGTTCATTCCTCCCACTGCGTCCAGATCTGACTTAAAGATGCCCAGCAGGCCAAAGCCGTTGACCTCCCAGTAACCTGCAATACAGGTGGTATGTCCACATGTTCATATAAATGTAAAATTGCCTACATCCACAATTCTCCTAAAAGTGCAATACTTCCCAGCGCGCTGCTTTTGATGTTTGAACATTAAATCAATGTGAGCAAAACATTACTTTTTATTCATCTACCCCTGCCCCTTGTTACAAC